AGGTGAATATGTTTACAAACCAAGGAACAGTGATCCACTTTAACAACCCTAAAGTTCAGGCATCTCTGGCAGCAAACACTTTCACCATTACAGGCCATGCTGAGACAAAGCAGCTGACAGAAATGCTACCCAGCATCTTAAACCAGCTCGGTGCAGACAGTCTGACTAGCTTGAGGAGGCTGGCTGAAGCTCTGCCTAAACAATGTGAGTTTCCTGGGAGTGGGCTTGCTGGGGGGTGCTCATTTAGCAGTGGATTTCTGTAGTCACAGGGCTCCTAGTGGATATGAATGTCTTTACACTTGGAAATACAAACTTTTCTTTCTTTTTTTTTCTATCTAGAAATACTTTTAAAAAATAACATTTTTGACTGATTTTAATTAAGTTATTTATAACCTAGTTTGCGCTGTTCCTTGTACTTCATGTAGTAGAATTTTGTTTTTCTACTTTGGATCAGAGACTTGAATTTTTTTTACTTCATTAGCTACGTAATGATTAAAACATTAATTTTGGACTTTGCTGAGTTGATTAAAAAATATTAGTGTAAACTACCAAAATTTTTCAGTTGTATCTGTACAATCAGTACTACCAATAATTTAAGAAATGACCTGCCAATATTCTGTTGTTTTTAATTACAGCATGATAGAAATTTTGTTCAAGACAGAAAACAGTGTGGTTGGCTCGGCGCCTATAGCTCAACCGGCTAGGGCGCCAGCCACGTACACCTAAGGTGGCGGGTTCGAATCCCCAGCCCGGACCCGCCAAACAACAATGACGGCTGCAACCAAAAAATACCCGGGCGTTGTGGCGGGCGCCTGTGGTCCCAGCTTCTTGGGAGGCGGAGGCAGGAGACTCGCTTGAGCCCAGGAGTTGGAGGTTGCTGTGAGCTGTAATGCCACGGTACTCTACCCAGGGGGACAGCTTGAGGCTCTGTCTCAAAAAAAAAAAAAAAGAAAAAAAAGAAAACAGTGTGGTCGAATAGGTGTACATTTGTGGGTGTGGCATCTTATGCTGAGGTCCATTGCCCAAAATTTTAAAGATTGGGAATATGGGAGCAAGTCAGAGGCTTACTATATGGCTTATTAGTCACTCATGTTTTTCTGGGTGTTGAATCACTCTGCCCTCTTATTGTCATGCCAAGGTATATACCAGGTTCTAGATCAGTGGTTCTCAACCTTCCTAATGCTGCAGCCCTTTAATATAGTTCCTGTGGGTCGCAGCCCGCAGGTTGAGAACCAATGTTTTAGACTGTCTTAGGCTTTCAGAGCTGAAGTAGGTTTCTGAAATATCCCACTGATAACCTGTATAAGGCTAGTACATGTTTTTATGTATATTTTGTGTTCTAGTGTAATAAAGTAGATTCTTAGCACTCAAAGACACTTAATTTTTTTGATCATTTCATTTTCATGTCAGTAAATGTTGAGTATCTCCTTTATGCCACTCACAAACAAGAGTAGTTGAGGAAATGGCCTCTTCATTTGTCACCGGAAATAAGTCCAAACCGTAATTTAGTGTATAGGTTTTACCTGCACTCTAAGGGCTCCTGCTGTTCTTATGCTCACTATCCCAGAGCCTCCGATGGGCTTGGAGGGATTGAAGGGATGGGTGTAGAATTTGGTGTGTTGGCTGTTCCAAGCATTTTAATCCATTTGTAGGCAACAGAGTATCGTGTTATTAATAGTACTATCCACCTGTCATGAATATAAGTTGTAACAGTACTGGGCATCTCATCTGTTCTTTTTGTTTTGTGTTTATTGAAAACCAAGTATGTGAGTGACATTTATATTTCCCTTTCTTAGCTGTGGATGGAAAAGCACCACTTGCTACTGGAGAGGATGATGATGATGAAGTTCCAGGTAGGAACCATCACTTGTGAACCTTCATTAGCCTAAAAAATCTGAGCAAGACAGAAGAAAGAATCTTTATAGGATAAACTGGGCAAGTGGGGAGAGAGGTTGAGTATAAGTTAAATGGGGACATGGACTTTGCTTAGAAAGATAGTACAGTGTTATTTAACTGGGAGTTATGTGAGTGCAGTGTTATTTAACTGGGAGTTATGTTTATAGACTTGTTTCTGTTTGGGATGCCAAGGAGGTGTAGCTATCTCACCTTAAATTATAAACAAGTATTTTGCAGCCTAAATATAACTACCTACAGATCACTGGTGACCCTGGTTTTCTATTTTGAAATTCATGAATTTATGAGGTGTAGAGAAGTCATTTGAATATCTTGGGATATAACCATTTTAAAATCTGTAGCAGAGTAACTCCTTTGGCAATTATGAGGCATCTTTCATTTATCTATATTATTAGATAATTTATTTTGTTGTAAAACAAATATTGGGTAGGAGAATCACTAGACTCAAATACACTAGAACCTCCATAGTTGACTACCTCCTTAAATTGACCTAATTTTCATAGAGTAGACATGTACCATATGTACCTATCAATACAGTAGGCCTATGTCCTTATGTTGACCAGTTGGGTGTCAGCTTATAGAGGTTCTGCTGTATTTCTACTTTGCACAAGCACATATCCTTAGGAACCCAGGAAAATGTCAGCATTGTGTATCATGGTCATGGTATTCTTTGGTTCTACTCCCCCATGTTGACCAGTGTATTACATTGTTGAATTCTTGGAATGGGGTGGAAATGGCGATGTATACATATGCTTTGGGCACAGTGTTTTTAGGTCATTGGCAAGTCCTTGTCTTTCCTTCATCTCCTTTTAAGATCAATATTTATTTGTAGATTTGGCCTCTTTTTGTAGAATTTCTACTTTTATTTTCTAGATCTTGTGGAGAATTTTGATGAGGCTTCCAAGAATGAGGCAAACTGAATTGAGTCAACTTCTGAAGATGAAACTTGAAGAAGTTCCTGGGAGCTGCTATTTTATATTATGACTGCTTTTTAAAATTGTTTTTGTTTATGGATCTAATAAAATCTAGATCTCTGATATTTTTAAGCCCAAGCCCCTTGGACATTGCAGCTCTTTTCAGTTTTTGCTTATACATAATTCATTCTTTGCAGCTAATTAAGCTGAAGAAGCCTGGGAATAAAGTTTGAAAGAAAGGTTAATAAAGTTCTTTGCCTAGTATACAGTTTTTTTATTTCCTTGTAACTGATCTGTAAAGTTGTTTATAGAAAGCTACATGGTATGCAACATGGCTGAAATTGGATTAAATACTTAAAATGTCAGTATAGTGTAACATAGGTGGTATAAAGTTCTCATGTTTGAAAACTTCTCTCCAGGAATCCTTTGGATTTATGTGGTTTCATAGTGGGTATAAATACATGATGAGAATAGAGTATTCCTTAGTGGGTGAACAGAGGGGTTTTCTCTTACTATTGTCTATTTTGCAAGCGTATATTAAGTGCCTTATATGTATTGCCACAGTTTATCTCATTTATTTCTCAATTTTGAGATAGGAATTAGCAGCTCCATTTTGTGGATGTAACCCGAGCTTTAGAACTTCAAAAAAGTGAAAGTAGTTAATCTTCAGATTTTTTTTCTTTTAAGATATTCTTTGAGGTGTCTTGAAAAAGAATAGTTTGTAGTGGGAATGGCTCCCAGGTCACTTTGTCTCTTTCTTAAATGGTAACACAAGTAAGGTTACTCTACAGTAAAACTGAGTGCATATATATGTATATAGTTGTAAAAATTTAACATGTAACTGCCACCTTAAATCACTAAAATCTTGTCACCCCAGAAAACTCCCTTGCCATAGGATTACTTTTTAAAAATTAGCAAGTTGTAATTGTGTAATCTGCACCAAGGCCATTGAGGCAGAAAATTATTTTTTGTTGTAACAAGAATTTTAAGTTTTCATTGCAATTTGCCAAGTGCCTTTTTAAGGTATTGCACAAATGTATCTAAAGTCACTTAGTTAACTGTACCAAAAAATGAAATGTTGTGTAAACAGTATTTCCACGTGTTTACATTGTATTATTTTCTTGAAAGGAAAGAAAATATCCACCTTGTTGAGGTAAAGTGGCTACAGTAACAAGGATCCTGAAGTCTCAGTGGTTAACCATTTAAAAACTAAGTGCATGTTTCCAGACTCTTGTGGGTCAGGTGGGGGGTGGGGGCAGCTATGCTACATATTCACTGCAGATCCCACAATAAAGGGCAATGCCCATCTGTGATACTCCCAGGTTCTTGGCAGAAAGGGGGGGGGGAGCAGGGGAGTATGTGCTGCCTAGACTGCTAGAAATGTTACTTCTTACATACGACTGACTAAACCAAATGGAATGGCTGAGGTGGGGGCTCTGGAGCAGGAGCCGAGCATTTGTATTACTGATAAACTCCCGATGGTGCTGATGCTGCTGAGCCGCTGGCTGTGCTTTGAGTAGCGTGTTTAGAAGCCTTTTCATCCCAACAGCTATTGGGGTGACAGTAACAGGCTGATAAGTTTGTGAAGAGTATCAGCTATCTGAATATCTTTCCAATTTGACCTAGATCTATAGTAAGAAACAGTAGATTTCCTGGCAGGCCTGTCCCAGTGCAACTTGTTTATTATACAAATACTGGCTAAGTCTGTTACACCTGTACTCAGGGACCTCCCAACAATTGTAAAATTGCTATTCCATTCCATTGTCTTGGTTATGGACTAATAGGAAAGATTTTTGTAATCTCTTAAATATCAAGGTAGGGTTATGCTACATTTACAAATGACCAAAAATTTTAGTTGTGGCAAAGATTGTCATATTTGGTGTCTATGCCTATGGCTGGGCTCCACTCGACTCCAGGAGCAGCCTGTAATTGGAAGATTGCCAGTCTCATGCCAGTGAAAAAATTGTGAACACAACCAACTGTTCAAATTTCTGCTGGAAAGCAATGTACATCATTGACCGTCAAATTTCATCCACTAGAACAAGTTAATGTACATAGTCAAGTCTGATGACCGTGGGATTGGGGAAACATCCTTGCTCAGTAACTATCATGTCTTTATAATATTTTTTACTGTCCTCAATCCCTAATGCTACTACTACATTTTAAAAGCATGCCACTATTTGTTTTATGTCCTCCTATTTGTTTATCATAATCCCCAAGAGCTTTATTGTACAGAAAGGAAACAGTCTTCAAGAGGTAAAATTACTTGTGTCAGGTCACACAGCTCTAAGTGGAAGGATGATATTCAAGCCCAGTCTGCTCTTTTGAGCTCACTACCTACTGGAAAGAATTTTAGGTCCTGGCTGACTAAGCAGATGATTCTGATCTGATGGATTTTTTTCTCTGTTGTTAGGTACTGTTAAGACTAGCTCTAGACCAAATGAATTTTCAGCTGGATCTGAACCAAAGCTACACTGATAAAAGAGACAGACATCATTTCAATCTGAGAGCTATTAGGATTAATACCTTTTATTCAAATAATTAACCTAGAGTATACTTCTATCATAACCATGTGTTTATAGAACAGAAAGCTATAAAATTTGGAAATACTGAGAAATGACTAGAAGGCAAGTAGAGCTTCTACTAATCATATTTCTCCGTTAACACTTTTTTTTTTTTTGACAGAGTCTAACGGTGTCGCCCTCAGTAGAGTGCCATGGCGTTACAACTCCATGGGCTTAAGCGATTCTCTTCCCTCAGCTTCCCAAGTAGAAACTATAGGCACCAGCCACAATGCCCAGCTATTTTTTTTTCATTGTTGTTTAGCAGGCCCAGGCTGGATTCAAACGTGCCAGCTCCAGTGTATGTGGCCAGGGCCCTAACCACTGAGTACAGGCACTGAGCCTCCATTAACACTATTCACGTTTGTTAGTAACCCTTCTCTCCCTTTGCTCCTCAAGTGAGATATACATGTCTACATATGTTACTTTTTTGAGAGAACTTTTAAAGCAACTAATAACAGTTTTCAGCTTTTCCAAAGAAATGATTAGAAACATTTGCTATTCACATAAGTTTTCATCACTCCAATCAGCGCAGTCTTGAATGCCATTTTTGCAGCGAGTTCTGGGAATGCAGGCGCAGTCGGCAAAGAAAACAGTATCACATCTCCAGCCTGAACACTCTGGGCACTGTAAAACTGGACAATTTTATTTATTTTTAAAACCATAACTGTTAAAATGTTAAGATGGACCCAAAAAAGATGCTCTTGGAAAAGAGTTCATTGGATCTTAAAAATATTAAAACTGCCCAGCAGGAAAAATGTTAAAGATTCTACATTTTGGGGTGAATTTGTACTTTGAAAATCAAAGATGAGTACTCCCTCTCCATCAGCCTAAAAATAAGGAAGGTTCCATGTGGGATTGTATGTTCAATAAGCAGGGAAAGAACCAGTATTTTCTAATTGATAGCAAGGATGAATGGGTCCCTTTATTGTTTTGTCTTTTTTAGTCAGGTTTAGGTCATGAATTTGTAGGTTTTTGTTTTTTGAAAGGGCCTCTTTATACTTGTATACTTTAGTTAAATATAACTTCTAGGAAGCATTTTTATTTGTACTCTCCATGACAATTAGACAAATGGAAGTTATCTGTTCTATTTCTGGTAAGTCTTCTATACATTGATCGGGGCCATGAGGTATTGGAATTTTATCTACTGCCATGGTTTTAGAATAATCTAGCTTTAGCAGATTATAGGGTGATCCGGAGGCAGCATGATGGGGGGCAAGGAGGAAAGAAAGAGCAAGGAGATGCCAAAGTTTAGCATCTCAAAATATTTTTTGAGAACCCAGGTATTCAACAGACTTTGGTTGTCACTAAAATTTTTTTTTTTTTTTTTTTTT